AACCTCTGAAACATGCAGCGGTCTGCTATCAGGAACCCAGCTGAAGAAGTTTGAACTACCCACAATGATCGTTATTTGAGTATAAGGTTAGCAGATGGTTGTTGCGGCATGGGAAGCACGTGTTCGTAAGAAACAGTTGGTTCTGATCAGCAACGTTCGGCAATCGTACACCATTCTCACATCGAATACCAAGTCCAAAGCGACCAGCGAGATGACAGTTTGTGGAGTCACCAGGTCCACTCCGGCCAACAATCGCCGCGAGGGAGCCTTTCAGTCAAGGTATGCAGCTACGAGTAAAACCTTTCCCTAGCGCGCTTTTCGGCAGAGGGAGTTGATGCGTGCACGGAGACGATAGATATGTTTGTGGACCGACCCTTCAATCACTCGTAAGCTATCCGTTCAATAAATACCTCCCCAGGCAAGCACCGCACGGTTCGCTTGTTGCGGTAGAGCAATCGCCCCACTATGTCTACCGGAGGAGTTGCGTGGGCCACTGTGGTATATTGTGAAGGTTTGGCTCCGGGGATCTCTATTTCCCGAGCGCCTGAGACGGGATTTCGCACAGACAGCAGATATCTACGTTCAGTTTTATTGAGGTAAAGATAGGGGAAGGTTTTTGAGCTCCCTATTGGTGGCATAATGACTGAAAAATGCAGCGATACAGTAGAAAAATTGAAATAGAGGTCATTTACGTGATTGCAGGCGAAAAGTCACCAGCAGTCAGTCAATGGTAAATAGTAAACATACATGGCTACTCACTCATCCCGAGTAGTATGATTTTATAAATATACTATCTTGGCGATGCCAAATGGCAAGAGCACTTGGTTGCGACAAAATCAATAAAGCGCAGAGGGAAGAAAATTCCTCGCGCAGTTATCGGAAGCTCTATAGGTTTGAATGCGATTTGACGGATTTAAAGGGGAAAAAACTTTCGCTCATGGGAGGAAATGTACACGAGATGGGAACGCCATGCTGATGAGGATATATAAGGCGGAACAGGAGAGCCCATCACGGAAATCACCACCAGTATATCTATGGTAACATTGAGGAGGGCGTCATAAAGGTCACGAGATTATCCCCGAGTTGCCGCGGTGCGATCGTGATATGCGCTTACCGAGT